GTAACTGTGTAATTCTAAGTAGTATTTAATGTCATTCGATAAAACTTTTAACAGCTAAAGCGGATTAACGACGTCAATTTCAACAATGGCTTTGTCGATATCCCTTTGTCGATATCCCTAAGACGCGAAGATAGTGTATGGCAAAAGCTACCCTGTCATCAAATTCCCCTCTCGTTTCATCGGAAAATGTTTCCAAATGTATACCAGGGTGGAATTTATACAGGTGGAAAGCTTTATCCAGCTTTATCCGGCTATCTGAAATAAATTGCGCGGAAACGTCGCATTGATACGCGCTGAAAAATGCATAATTGTCGTGCCACCGTCAACGCGCGCGTCTAATACCGCGAGAGACAGGATGATCGTTTGTTTTCACAAAATTCGAAATTCGCAGGGTGAGCGTAACAGTATCACCGTGAGCTTTTGCCGCCCGAAGCGAGTATGCTTTGTAGCGCAAATCGAGAGGTAGAATTTAATCAACGAGATATAGGCATCGCGTACGCGCGATACCGCGATACCCCGTGGTGCTTTCCCCAAACATCGAATGCGGAAAGACCGCAAGTCGTTAGACGGATTAATATGGAGGTTTTGGTTCGAAATGCAGCACTTGGTTGCATTTCCCATTATCACATCACGCCATCGATCCTGCCCAGCGTTCAGCTCCGCTCGACATACGGCGTGGAAAATGTTTTCAGCCTGTGTAATGGTGGTCGGAGCAATGTTGATCGAAAGGGTGTATCGGATCTGCGCGTAGGGACACAACAAAATCATATCACTTCATACAGGGGGAAGATATTTACATTCTGTTCTAAAATGTATCGTCGCAGTTGGTTAAAGATTTTTTTCATTTAATCGCGGTTGTCTGATAAATTATCATCGCAGAAGTAATATTCCGGAGCGTTTATTCTCCTTATTATCGTAAGCTTACTGTATTTTGAAAAAGAAAAGATTTTTTTTTTTTTTTTTGTAATTTTTTCTGTTGATTGCTGCCGTGCTACACGGTTAGTTATTTTTCTTGGTAATTTTTCTGTCTTTTATTATTGTATTCTGTTCTTACTTCTTCTTTTTATAACACGCACACAGAGGACAAAGATTAATTATTCTTTTTATTGTCACACACACACACACACACACACACACACACACACACACACAGAGGACAAAGATATTATCTTTGTAAATATATTGCATATCTCTTTTTTTTTTATAATAGCCGTAACATTACGCTGTGCCACGTCTTTCGTCAGGGCAGTTGAAAAATATATGTTTTACGTTCTTTAATGTCAGTGGAGAAAAAGAGTGACCCGGCTTGAAACAAAGTTACAACGACACGTAACATGAGAGATCGTTGGAAGATTATGTAACGGGTGAAATCAATAGTCTCAATGTGTTAATTAAAAACTGCGAAATAATGCGCGTTTTATTTTAGCTTTGCGGTCATAGTGTAACTTTATTATTCGAGATAGCAATGCACATCCGATGAAAAGTCGAAAGCTCGCACAAATTCAAATAATTAATATCCCTGTATGAGAGACTCGCGATCTCTGACCATATTAATAATAATCGAGACAAGAAAAGTTGCAGTTGGTGAATATGCACGAGTGATATTGAGTTCCGGCATGATTTCCTAGATATATATATCTTTTAGAATTGAGCGTTGTGGTAGGAAAACCACACGGTAACCGCATATATGAAATTCAGCGTTTGCAGATTTGCATGTAGCCAATTAAGGAATTACCACCAAGCTGACCGAGCAGTGAGATAAAATTTCTTGTGATAAGTATCTCTTTCTGCCTGACATAGAGCATTTTTTTAGATTAAGAAAAATAGAGAATAATTCGCAATATATCAATCTGCAATGATAATCTGATTATTTTATGTGTTTATTAAAATTATTTTTACAATTAATTCTTATTTATCTTTATATATATTTTAAACATATATTTATAACAAATTAAATCATCCCAAATAATTATCTAAAATTATTTTTAAAAAATATTTTTTTCTTATATTATGAAATATTTGTATATAACGCAACATTGGCATTTATATTTAAAAGCCATTGCGTTTTCTTTTTTTTTTTTTCTTAAATCGTCGATTTTGAGCTATTGTCAAAAATAGCAGCAGTTTATTTTTATAAAAATTCTCAGGATATTTGAAGTTTCTCTTCTGATTAGCGACCAAACCGCAGAAATGACTTATAAACATATATAATACGCGCATGTCGAGTGCTCATCATTCATTACCCACCAGACACTATAATTAGAAATGCTACTTAAATTAAGGACACAATTTATCTGTATCACGAAAGTTATCATATGTCATGAAGATTATAGACACACCCAGCTCGATTTTTAGAAATTGGATTCTATCTTTATATAGACTCTTAAAATGGATGAAAAGTGCGTATAACATTATTCCTTGAAAAATTTACACTATTTCTGTTTCAGACAGATAAAAAAGCAGATTAAATGTTTCCATAAATCAAGAAACGTGATATCTTGGGAGATTTGGAATTTCGCAACAAATAACAAGACAGTTTTCTATTTCTAGTTTCTACCAAGTTTTTTTCCATTCATTTTCAATTATAATCAATCTTATAGAGCAATTGTTCTAAAACTTATTGTTACAATAATGTTTGTCTATCTGTTTCTCTCCCCTCCCCCCTATCTGTTTGTCTATCTATCTGTCTGTATTTGGGAACTATCGGAAAAACAGCTTTAGTGCTTCTTAGATAATTAATGATAATCTCTCCGTGTGATTTGCATATAATCTAGTAATACACACTAAAGCATATCGATCGACTTTCCAATTCGCGGTATAGATATTCTACACATGCATTCTATATAAAGGCGTTCTGTTAAAAAATTTATATCGTTCGATTGTGCATAAGTAACAGCTGCAATTGAGATGTACATCGGACGTCGCTGTGCAGTGATAAATATTGTCGATAATAAAAACGACCTGCCAGGCGCATCTGCATTTCATAGGCAATCGCGCGCAACTTGTTAGAAATTTCAAAGTCAGTCTACTTACTGTTGTGAGATACAAATATAATTCCCGAACGAATGCCGCAGTGGAATCGATAGGTGACGGTTCACGGAGACCAATCCGGGATAAACGCATCCGAAGCAAGAAGAGATACGGAAGAAAGTAGGGCACCGGAGCAGGGACAACAGATGGGGAAACGAATATAAAAGGGTTGAACGCTTTCGAAGAAAGGGAAACCTATCGATAATAAGTCATAATTGTCAAAACTTTCGCGTTCAGTCCTCAGACATATTCTTGATTTTTAAGAACGAACTTATCCGTAATTTATACCTTTAATTCGGCACACGTAGAATCATACATTTGCAATTCGCTCACGATCCGCGCGAAGCAAAAGAGATATCGACGTGTCCAAAGACAATTGCTTACGTCATATAGTTTTATTTAAACATTGACATTGTATATGATATACAATATTTGTATATGATACAATGTATATGATATACAATATTTTTAACGAACTGTAGTGATTACAAACAAATAATAAACATAAAAAAAGAGTGTTAACTTTTGAGACATCTTTCTTGAATTTATAATTGATTGGAAAACAATTTGAGTTTGATATTCTTGCAAGGAATAATCAATGAGAAAATAGTAATCGATAAATAATAATAATTATAATTACAAATATATTATGAATATTGAAAGAAACGTTGTAATTCAGAATATATTCTTCATTTGTATTGATTCATAATTAGTTTTTTAAGTTTTAATTATTTAAAACCTTTGTTACCTTACGAAATACATTATTATTATCTCTCAGATTTCTTTCCTTATTGTAAAACTTTATAAAATTAATAATAAACTTCAAAGATTTTTCTTTTCCTTAATGAAGTTTAAAAGAGAAACGTGCTTTTTGATTTGCGTTCTGAAACGTATCTTATATATTATTTTTTTCTCGTCTCTTTTCTCTCTCTATCTCTGTCTTTCTCTCAATTGGTTTTTCCTACATCCGCGTTTATCTAAAAATAACGATTCTCCTTGAAGAATCGACTTGTCGCTTTTGAAATAGGGATACTCTCCCCTGAAAGTTCAAATCTACTTCGTTTCATCCGATTTTTTGTTTAATCCCGTGAAAATATATACCAAACTACATGCTGCTTTTTATCATATGATTGAATTAAAAATTTTTTATATATATTAAAGGAAATGTTATGCGAATTATTTTTGCTATTACAATATGGTGTGAAACTCTATCGTGATTACATTTTGTGATCACGTTAAATCCCAGTTGCATTAACTGTGTTGTATTTTACACAGGATCTCCAACATCCAATATTGCGTTTCCATGCACTGAAGTGAATATTATGCATGCTTTTCAAGCAAGTTTTTTCTGGCTAATATGTTTTTAAGTATTTACGCAAAACAGACAATACAAAAAAAATCTTTCTTTAATTTTTTTGGAAAATACCAATGAAAAATTGTGTAAAAATGATAACATTTTAAATTTATTATTAATTTGATATCATACACATAATTTACATGTAAAAAAATATATATTATAACATATATGTACAATAATACAATTTGTATGTTTTTTGTAATAAATTATTATGACATAGAAAATAGAATGATCTAATATATCTTGAATGCAAATACATACATTTATTCTACTAAGATAATTAACAACTATCGTAAATAAACATTATTTCTTGGACATTTTAAGGGGATTAAAATGAACTATTAATCTTGTTAATGAAGCGCTGTATATTTATTTGTAAATTATTATTATTACAGTTTATCGGATAATCGATAAACTACAGATAAGCCATGAAGAGGCCATGAACTGACGGTGAATTTCAAACTTAATTGAAAAGCTGTCTTTAATCCACATGTTTAATATTTTGTTGAACTTTGATAATACCTCAATCAAATTTCGGGATTTACGTATATCCGTTTATATCCGTGAAAATAACATATAAGTAACAAACGGAAATTGCTGTTGCGTGTTTCAGGAAACATGGTGCAGACGATGGTGGCACATCTCTCAAAGGAGCGTCTCCCTATCGGCCAGTTCCTACTCGCCAAAGTTAAATCCGCTTTTGATGAAGCAACTGAAAGATCCTAAAGCTACGGAAAAGGAGGTGAAGAAAACTGCAAGGGTTATGTCAACGGAAAAAATGGAGATCGGAAGCACCGGTGAGTTATGATACCGTCTATTAAAAACAATCAGAAAAATCGTATATTGCATTACGTAACAAACTGTAATTTGATTGCAATATTATTTTCCTTCACTTTATTTCCTGATAGGTTTAACATAATTTGAAACACATCAAAGTTTACAGAATTTTTAGATGTGTAATGTGTATTTTAGATGTGTAATGTGTAAATGTGAAAAAACCTACTTCTAATTAATTGTTCGTTATATCTGCCGTAATTTTTTTAATTTTTGATAGTGGATAAAGCTTTGTAATTAGTTACGTCATGCGATCTTAATGTGCTTGCAAGGGTATGCATGCAAAAATATTCATGCACTTAGATTACCATTGACATTTTTTCAGGCACTAGTGCATTAATTGTAAATATATAAATTTGCGATACAAGATATGCAAATAATTCTTATCGTATTATATATGTAACTACTTATCGTATTATATATGTACTACAAAACAAATCATTTATTATATCGCGTTCCATGTTCTCGAACGAAAGGTTAAAGGGAATGAGATACATAACACATATGTATTGCATAAAGCGATTAAAGTGTTGGCACGGAGTATCCGCGAATTTTTTAATTCCGTGAGTAAAGAACATTAATAAAAAGCAAATTCTTCTGCATAGATGCAAAAAAGTTCCGTAATGCTCTTTACTCTGAAGAGCATTACTACTTCAACGTAGGAATCGACGCGAAAATCGCTTTACACAGTGTCTGTCGTACTGCGTAAAGTTCACAGCTTTACATTTTACAGCACACATTGCTCGACGTAATGTTTGACGCCGGATTCACATCGAAAGCTTTTTACGATCGCTACATTTACGACTGTGCTACATTCACTCAAAAATAAATCGATAATTGCGCCGCGCCTAATGCGTTATTTAGATGTAATAACGCCCCGGCGTTATTACATCTAAATAATTACATTGGCCGTATTTAACACATATGAAAATTATGTTTATTTACATACAGATTAGATAATTATACGGATAATTTTACGGATTATTTGCACGATTATTTTTAAAAACTTTTTATTATTCTTATTGTTAGTGATATTACTTTATAATTACAATATGAAACGCTATTCTAGTATTATATTACTAATTTTATATTTGTAATTGCGAATGATATTATTAAATATGACAGTCACTCTAAATTCATTCTCAGCACATTTCGGACTACATGATGAGTCTAGTCTTGCCAAGATTTTCTTTGAAGTCTACGGTAAATCTTTAGAAGAATCGATAAAATCAACATCTCCGTTCCAAGAATACATGATGTCGAAAATAACCCACATGTCGTCTTTCAATATATCATTTAATTTAAGACTTACGTTTCAAAATATGTGACGTGTATATTCAAGTTAATTTTCATGGCTTGATATTTACTCCGTTCCTAGCTTAATATGTGAAAATGTAAATATAGTTTGTAGATATATGTAGTGGAATAATTACAACATTTCTTACACAATTTTATGTTATTGTACAAAAGTGAAGTATATGAAAAATCTCATTTTAATTCCAACTGAAAAACAACACTTAACAATTATATAATCTTTTAGAGAGAGGTGAGGGGGGAGGAAGAGAAAAAAGGAAGAGAAAGAGAAAAAGAAAAGAAAAAATGACAAACATAATAAATGATATTATTACATACGATTATTTATTACATATTTGATACATTCAAATTATATCGGTTGTTCGGGTGTGTGCCTTGTGTATTGCATGCAATATTACATTAAATTTTTAATGTATTTTATTTTAGTACATGTCAACATTTATCACCTGCTCTAACATGACTCGTGTGGATTTATCCACCTGGAATAATAAACTAATTGATCAATAGTACTTACATATCAAATAAATTATAATTACTTTGACTATTGACTATGTTCTCGCGATATTTTCGATATTGTCAGAAGAAGCATTTGCCAGAGAGAACTTTTTGTCTGAAAAGATTCTTAGTTTAATTCCAACAAAATATTTATTCGATCGCGATTGAAGTTTCGCAAATATAATGCCATTATTTTTGTTTATAAAATAAAGAAATAATGCTAAGAAATGTCTTTGCGCAACTCCATTACAAAAATAATTACATTATCTCACGTTATCTTCTGAAATAATCTTCATTTTCTCTTGTTCGTATCAAAGAAATAAATATATCATACAAAAGATTCCTCATTCAGGATGCTTGCGCGCATTGGTTCTGCTCGTCAGTTCCATTGAGACTGTCCTCGAGCACCTCGAATTCCTCAAATTCCATTTTACCGAAATCGTTGCCAACTTTCCAACTCGTATTCACCTCCCATCTTGTCAATGCACTCGGCGTGAATCTGCTCGGATAATTGGATCTCGAATCGTCCAGATCGCCCAGCTTAAAGTCAGCTTTGAAAGTCTTTCTCGAGTCCTTGGAATCTTCTCTCTTTGGTTCCAAACCAATCACCACCGGCGGTTCTCTCTTAACCCGTTCGACTTGCTCGACATTTTCATTCCTCTGTGCTTCATCTTTTTGTCTGCTGTCAATTGTCGTGATCTCGATGCTGGGCGTTTCTACAATGGTGCATTGTCTGAGATCGGCACCTCTGTCGCGATTGCGACGCAACGATTGTCCCTCAACAAGCCTACCCGCCAACTCGAGTCTGCTATCGCAGGAATTGCTCTTCACCAGCTTGAATTTTACGTAATCGTTCGATTTATCAATCCGCTTGAATCCATTGCCGGAGATCAACGGAGATACCAACGGTCCATTGTGCATATTGACCACCTTCCCACCGTAATAAGTTACGGAAGTACCATACTCACGGATCTTTTTCAATACGTCTTGGGACACGTAATGCCCTGGACCACTCTCATCCGCATCGTCATCATTGCAATTCACATCCTCGTCATCGGACGACGTGCAATGAGCACCACTCCCGGGATCGGTGTCGGGGTAATCGCTAGACACGCCGGAACTGATGCTACCGGAATCCCAATTTGATGATGATGATGATGATGATGATGATGATGATGATGATGATGATGGTAACGGCCGACCTTGTTCTTAGAACAATTGGAACCGCTTGGTGAAGTGTTCCCGCTTCTAGCTTCGAAACTTTGCGCGAGGATTCTCGTTTTTGACTCGCAACGCGGACTTCCGAGTTCCTCCTTGGCAACGGAAATGGCCGATGACGCGGACTTGGTCTCGAAGAGTCTCGTGAGATCTTTCGCTCTACTGGAACATCTGGATCTGAACATAACACATTGATTATGGTAATCACGAAACGATCGAAGAATGAATGAAGATGTTTAAAGCTTTGATTACATTAATTGGCGTGTGTATGTTAGTTTTAAATTGAACTTATTTTAACTTACGCCTGTAACTCTAATAATGTTCGGGTAACACTGTTATCTTAAACGTGAATAATCGAATTACCGACTGCTTCGCACGCAGACGTTCCAATATAAACTTTGTCACCGTTTACAATCCCATTAAATCTAATATTAACTCAGACTGATTTATCTAGAGTCACCTCGTATCTGATTCATCCGCTTCAACTAATATGTTAGAAATAGTCGGTGCACAAGGTAGGCTTCTTGTTAAAACATTCGCATCCGCATTGTGAATAAATAAAAGTTGTTGTCGACGACATTCAATATTACGCTACCTGGATTCTTCGCGTGTCTTGTCGGACATTTCGTCGTATCGACTGTCGTCGATGCTAGTCAAATCCTTCATGCTGACGCTCCTTCTGCTCTTGTCATCTCTGGAGAACTCGACGTCGGATATGCTTTTCTTTTTCTCCAAAGTATTCTCGAACATGCGTCTCACGTTTCTGACAGTATCCGGATCCGGTAGCTCCTCGTCAATCAGCTCACGATTCACCCGTATAGGTTGGTAGAAAAAGTGCTTTCTAATGGACGACTGCCTAGAGCTTTTAGCGGTGCCACTGTTCTCGGATTGTTCGCCGTTTTTCTCGCGATTCTCCATCTTCTTTTGAATCGCGCCGGCGATCTTGCACGTGGGTTCCGCTCTAGCCAACGGCGACGATTTCCGTTCCACCGGCTCGGCACGAACCGGCTCGATGATAACGACGTTGTTGTCCATCAGCAATTCTTGGAACGAATACTCGCGCAAATATTGCATCAGACCCTCATATGTAACATCGCCTCGAGCGATGCTGAACATATTCTTGCTAAACATGTGCGACTTGACGATCTTGTAGCGCACGTGATCGAACTCCGGACCATCGTCCTGGCACTCTATCGAATCCACGCAGCTCCTGGACCTGATGAGATTAGTGTGCAATTTTTTATCGTCGCCTGTTCTCGGCGATTTGTCAGAATGTTCGATGTTCCTCGATGGTCGGTCGTCCTCGATGCCATCGTCCACCGACCTTCTGCGAGAATCGCTACCGGATTCGGAACCGAGGCCGAGATCAGAACTCTCGGATCTCGCTTCGAAGCCCAGACTGTCCTTTACAGCGCTGCACGCCTTGCCAAGGATGTTGGACGTCTCCTTCACGATCCTCTCAAATCTGCCCTCGTTCTGCTTATTTCGCGCCCCCTCCTTCTCGGTATTTTTCCGCTCGAAGAAATTTCTCGCGTCTCCCGCCGTCGCTCCATTTTCCGCATTTTCCGGTGCCGCAGTTTCCTGCAAAATTAATTTGTCAATTGATTTAATGCGTTCCTGCTCCATTTCCAACGCCGAGATGTCAGTTTTTATTAACGGAAAATATGAGAGAAGATGAGATTGTAAGATTGACGTGCAACATTATAAATTGATTACATTACAAATTACTTAACGTAAACGAGTATTTAATCGAATAAAAAAACTATTGCGAAAATGTTGAAATTAAAATCCGAACGTGAAGTCACTGTTCGATATTCAATGTGCACGTGTAGCATGCATGCAGAGAATTCAAAACGTTTGCTTTATACTTTTCTAAAGAAACTTCTACTTTTGATACACTTTAGGGAAAATGCAATTGCATTCTTGACATTCTCGTTTATAATAGAATTTCTATTTTAGAATACAACAAGTTTGTTGAGAGAAAAAGAATAATTGAAACTTGTTTTTCTTAGTACAAATATATTCTATCGTCATACTAACTTTTCTTCCACGAACTTCGTCTTCCTTGTTCACATTATTAATCGATATAATCACGGCGGCGTCGATACGATCGTTCGCTTCCTTCGTAATCTCCTGCGATCTCTTATCCTTTGGCACGTCCTCGACGATAGCATCGATCTCCACGACGGAACGCCGATGGCGTCTTCTGGTGACGTCATTGTCGATGACTTTGAGAATTTGTGGTCTTCGTGACATCTCGTTCCGGTCCTCGTCCGAGATCCAGATCGAATTGTAATCTTCCACTTCCTCGATCTTCTGATCCTCCTCGCAGGAGGTCACGAGATTTTCGACATCGGCTCCCTTATGATCGGTCTTGGATGAAGAGGAGGGGGTGTGCTGAGCTTCCGCGAACTTGGTCGTTGAACTAATCTCCGAATCTTCTTCCCCGGAACTGTCGTCGGTTTCTCGACGCTTCCGCTGGCACGAGTCCGCCCCCTTGCACGAATCGAGATCCCCGTGAACTTCTTTCTCAGGTTCGTCGTCGGCCTGAGCGGGATTATCCTCGTTCGCCGTGTGCTCCTTACATTTCTCCTCGTCCGTTGCGTTGCTGCTCCTCGTCGGCGAAACCTCGCTCGCGCCGCTTGGCTCGTTGTATTCGAGTACTCTTAAATCTCGCAGACCGTGTACCTTCCTTCGCGCGAAATTACCGTTCCTCGACGAGTCCGCCTCGTTGTATTCTAGCCGTATGTTGGATAAAGGCAGTAAATTTAGCACGTCGAAGTATTCCAATTCTCCGTCGTCTTCAAACAGGATACTGTCTAAGCTTCTGTGCTCCTTACGCTTGCGCTTCACCTGAATGGGAAAGCACATCTAAGCGCGTGCTCTTCATACATTTTCTTCTACAGAAAATTTTACGATCCGACCGACTTTCAGGACGAGTTTTCTCATAAGACAAACATTTTATTATAAGAAAATATTTTTGTAATAAATGTATCATGTTTGAAAGTCAACTTTCAGTTCCATTTATTGTCCTCTTGATTATAAAAATAGCATTTGTTATTTGAACTTCATAACTGTTTTAATTTAATTTTATAATTTTTATTATTTCATAAAATATAATAAGTTCATATAAGTAGTAATTTAATGATTATTTTAATTTTGCTAATTAAACTTTCGAAAAGATACTTTATTAAATTTTTAAAAAATCAGTTTATTAAATTTTTAAAAAATCCAGAGATCCGGTTGAAATTTAATCAAGCAGCTTGTAAAGATAATAACAATACTAGGAAACTTGTGGTCGTACTACGGGACGTAATGATCTCTATCATTTTAATTAATGTTTGGTAACAAACTTCTTAATCTACTACTGCTACTATATTGAAGAGTCCCGGCACGGCTGATCTCAAAGAGGATACATCATTGCATCGTGGAAACTTTAATCAAATTAACAAATAATTGTGGAAATTTCATCATAGCAGCTTCTATATTATACATCATTATTACAATATCATACATCAAGTTATCAGTATGTGTTGCTGCTTATTACAAACCAATCTAATCCATTAAATATTACAGTTTGTCATTTTCGATGTAACAAAGTTTATTTTGATTGATCGAATAATTTAATAATCCTCTCAACGATAAAAGCTCAATTAGCTTCTGCACGAAGTAAATTACTAAGTTTTATGCTTTTTTATCGAGGAAAAACATATTTCACCTGCGTGTATATGCAATCGATGCTCCGATTGCCTTCGATAGGCCAGTTATCTTCGACGATGTCGACTAATCCGCTTACGGTATCCAAGTTTTGCACGCTGCGGTATCGTCTCGGATCTGGCCAGTCGAGAATATTTAGTCGATCAGGATCAGCGCGATTTCTTCGAGTATAAGGCAGCGGATCTGGAAGTGATGCGAGACCCGATGGAATTGAATGAAGACCGCACGTTGACCGTGAATGATAAGATTTTGCCTCGTTGAATCTCTCGTAAGAATCCGAGAGATGCTGTTGACTTTTAGAGAGTCTGAAACATGCAAAATGCAAACTCTCTTGGCTGATTGCTCTCGTGGAATAAGATTTGCATTCGTAAAACTTAGGTACTTGGTAGGTACTTGGAAAAAATATGAATAATATAAACCGTGGATAAAAAGAGCATTTATAAGTCTAGCGACTTCTACAATTTATTTGCGTTTATTAGATTTACATACCGAGTGGTGACATTAACTGAGAAAATTATTAACAGAAGGAATATCAAATAGATTTTTTTAAATTTTATTTGAAGTTATTAAATTGAAAAATAATTTTGCTAAATCAAATCGCTCGTTACCATTATATAATTACTTCAAGATTTTAATCACTTGATGTTGCAAAAAACAACTTTGCAACTTGATGTAAAAATGATGTTAAATGTAGCGGTTGTTTACTTGCTATAATAGCGCAGCTATGCAACGCATTAGAATGCTTGCAATGGACCGTGAATAGATGACGAAAACAAACGAAGACAATTGTTTCCCTGTCAAGTTGTGCGCCACCGTTCGATTTGATTCCGCAATGACGAGATATCAGCTTGGAATCGTATTTTAGCAAAGCTTCTTTGTGAAGTTTTTATGTCACTTTGAGAGGAACTTTAAGCCGTTTGAGTGTTTTATTAAGGAGCATCGATCGTCTCTGACCGATCGGATTTCGATCCTGCTCAGTATTTGCAATTTACCGATCGCCACAAGCGAGTGCAATGCAAGTTTACAATCAACATAATAATCGAGATCAAATTCGCTGTTAGAATTAGCTTTGTTGGTGACCAACAGTTCGTTGTAATATCATTAAAATAATTATATATAGAAAATTGTGCTGACACTATTATTCATCAATCATAATCTTTGACGCTTCAAAAGAAGCAATCATCTAATTAATTAACATGCTATCAAATGTTAATCTTGTTGAAAGCAGCTATTAGACAGAATGGCCTTTCGAATTTTTATTACTTTCTTATTTCCCACGTAGTGTGCTTAAAGTCTATTGACCAAGGTAATCAGGCCAAGAGCACGAGCCTGATCAAATCTTTTTTCGCGCTTGATAAAAAGTCTCACCTATCCTTGAGAGAATTCCGATCGATCAGCTTGGCTCTCGGTATCAGTTGATGTCTCCTGGGCAGGTCGAAAGTCGATTGGCCTAGTCGAAAGTGCGTCGCTTCTCGATCCTGTCGAGAATCGTCTTCCGATATTACTGCGAGACTCCTTGTACGCTTCAACAGCTTCCTGCGATCCTGCGTCGACTGTGCCGAGTGGGAGTCGTAGCGACTGCCCTCTCTGCAATTAAAATCGCGCAATTCCGCGGTAAGAGGCTTAAATCATAGGAAACACAATCATAATAAAATCATACGCTACGACAGACTTTTCACCACGGGTTACAATATACAATGTGTAATTGACGTATTTTGCATAGTACAGGCTGTATACAGAAAAGTCATGCGCTTTCTCTCAGTCTACAAATTCTCGGGGAAATTTGAAATTGTTTTTACCACGGTAAAAACATCACGTTTAGAGGCGCAATTAAAAAGTTGTATAACTTAATTCGAAAGTTTTGAAAATTAAGAGGACTTACGAGCGAATTAGTATTTAACTTTCACTGCAAAAAAAATATAATGAGATCTTATATTCTTTAATTAATTTCATTTAATTAAGCTCTTCATAAATCTTCTTTTAAATGAAATTTTTATCGGAATTATTTTAATTGCCACATTATGTTTCATTTAGAAAATTAATTTAAATATTAAGACTGTGATTGCTCCAAATGAAAATGCTCGATAAAAGTGTACAAACTTCCGAAACATATTCAAATTCTAGGAATAAACGTGTGCTTTTTATACTCCCCGTATGCTATTAAAATGATATATTATGGGACGCAGATCCTTATAATATTCTTTGAATAATGAATAATTCTTATAAAATAATAATGTAATCACTGTATATTTAACAACCAATAAATCTTCAAACATCGCTCTATGCTAGCATTAAGGAACATGAAATGATGTAGTTTTAATATTCTGTTAATTGTTATAAGCGACGGGTGAATCATAATATTCATTAATGTAGATATGTCGATGCATATTCATCCTTTCTTCTCTTAGTCGTGAATCGTTACATCGACATCGTACCGTAGTAAATTATCTACGTGTAAATCAGTGGGATGACCCGGAAAAATTTCCGTGCGTTAAAATGTCGAGGGAAGAAAAACATAATAGCACAATAGCAAGGTACGTCTTTTGAGTTCCTTTATGAACGATAAATTTCTTCATCTCGTAAAAAGAAGCGTCGTATATAATTTACTGTTTAA